GACATACATGAAAAAGGCTTTTCACCTTTGTGAATCATAATGTGCCGTGATAAATTATGTTTTTCACTAAAACTTTTTCCACAGTTCACACAAGAAAACGGCTTTTCACCTGTGTGAATCCTCATGTGGCAAGTTAAACTAACTTTTTGACAAAAACTTTTTCCACAGTTCCCACATGAAAACGGCTTTTCACCAGTGTGAATCCTCATGTGTTGAGTTAAACTAAGTTTGTGACTAAAACTTTTTCCACAGTTCCCACATGAAAACGGCTTTTCACCAGTGTGAATCCTCATGTGACTAATTAAATACGATTTGCGACTAAAACTTTTTCCACAGTTCCCACATGAAAACGGCTTTTCACCGGTGTGAATGATCATGTGCCGAGTTAAATCCTGTTTTTGACTAAAACCTTTTCCACAGTTCCCACATGAAAACGGCTTTTCACCGGTGTGAATCATCATGTGCTGATTTAAATGCCGTTTTTGAATAAAACTTTTTCCACAGTTCACACATGAAAACGGCTTTTCACCTGTGTGAATCATCATGTGAGCCTCAAAAGTAGATCTGAAAGCAAAACGCTTTCCACAGGTCACACATGAGAAAGGTTTTCTTCTTTCCTGATTTTGGTTCTCAGCTTCAGCAGCTTCCTGGAAGATGACTTGGTTCCTGCTTGTTTCCGATTCAGTGTGAGATGTTTGTTCATAAACAGGAACCACCATGCAGGTATCAGTCTCCTGTTTTAACTCAATCTGTTTTTCATCCTGACTGCAGTAAACTTCTTTCTCTTCCACTTTTATCTGATGGTATTTTAGATCGTCCTGTTCTTCTTTTATATGCTGATGTTTTAGATCCTCCTGCTCTTCTTTTATCTGATGATCTTCTGGTTCTTCCTTTTCTTGTTTCACCTGCAGAGGTTCTAACTCCTCCTGGTCCAGAGTGGATCTCCTCTCCTGCTTATAAATGTTACACTGCAGGAAATCTGGAGAAGAAAGAAAACAGTGGAAAAGAGCAGTTGTTAAGTTTTTTGAAGTAAATATGAGAAATTGTTTGTTTTAAAAATAAAAAAACGAACAAAAAAACTACTTAAAAATTCCAGAGCGTAGACCGAGAGACAGATCAGTTGACAAATCCAGCTGACAATTGGAGGATTCTCAAATGAACGGATATTAAAAAAATACTTTATTTATTACAAAACCAATTGTAGTAGGGATTATTGTTAATATTTAACAGTAAATTGTATTATTTCAAGATATTTATTTTTATTACATTGAATTATAGTAAAATTTTATTTTAGTCCACTTTATATTTTGGGGGTTTACTTAAAGAGTTTATTTGTAGGTTAATAGTTGTTTAGTTTTTGTTCCTTCATTTACTTTTCTAAGTTAGACAGGAAGAACTGTGGGTCCATTTTCTGTAAGTACTGGTATCGGACCAGCATGCACTGGGTTGGGCCTGTGGGCATAGGTGTAAATCCCGGGGGGGTCAGGAGGGTCCGGACCCCCCCAATCTTGGAAAAGTCTACAATTGTCCCCCCAAAAAAAATAATTGAAGAAATATTTGCATTTAAATAATATCAATCAATGAAAAGGCAAAAGAAACAAAAAACGAAATAAATCTGCCATTTATCTCAGAAAAAAATAATAATAATGTTTTAGGTCACCGCCCCCCCTCCCATTGGTAAAACAATGGTTCAGTCCAAGTGTAGGAGGAGCAACAGCAGCACTGAATGCCATAGACATAATATAAGGATAGACGCCTCATGGACCGCTCTCGCCTATTGTCGACGAGATTTAGGGCGGCCATCTTGGAGCGGTACTCCACTCCACTCAGCCTTATGTGTTTAGCAGGCACAATGACGTATCAGCGCATTTAATCGATCATAATAGACTTTTTTGTTACTGTAAACCATATTCAAACATCTATCAAAGCAACATTTATAAACAATTGTATTTTTTAAGTATGTTTTTAATACATAGTTCATCGTATTTAAATATGCTTAGTGGCTATAACAATATAATAGGAATGGAATATTCTGATATCAATGTATGTCAAGTTTTTTGGCCTCTTCAAACACCTCGGCTTCTGCCCAAACTTGAAAAAGGCTTGCTCCCATCAAAGAGACGCAGGAACAACTCATCTCAGTGTCATCTTTTTATTTCTCTTTTCTTTTGTCTTTAAATCACTTCACTTTTCAATACAAGACCACCATGATTTGTTTGAGTGGTCAGAGTAGACACACCAAGCAGGTTGAAAACCTACAAACAAATGAACCAAAATTACTTGCAAATTATAGTGAACAAAATAAATCTCCAAACAATATTAATTTACCATTAAGTTATGAGTGAATAAACAAACAAACACATACCATAAACAAGACTGATTAGGTTTTCTGAATGCAGGTTAAATGGTTTGATGTTCAGTCCCCACCAGTGGTGTCTCTGTGAAAATTTGGAGCCGAGTTCTTTGTCTGAAGGGATCATTCAGGTGTGCCGAGTTACTTTATAGGTTTCTGATGGGCCTGAGAAGGGATGGGTGCGTTTGATTTCCTTTGAGGCGCGTGCCAGCCAGGCGGAGATGGCAGTGCACCCACAAATACACCATTTGCTGTTTTAACTTGACAATGTATGAAGAGCATATTACAAAGCACACAGCCGTTCATAATTTATTTAATAAATTATTTAGTAATATCAATATATATTTATATAAATATACAAAGATTAATAATGGCACAAATAAATAATGATTAATAGTGAATATATATAGTTATGGTGTTGGTAGGGATCGTTCTCAATGCTGCATTCACATCTTCAATGAGACTTTCTGATGGTACTTCACTCAGCCGTTGTAATTAGCGTCGGGTGGTTCGTTCATTACTGGGGCTACATACCCTCTGAGACAGTCAGAGGCCTCTGAGACAGTC